GAAAAAAAATATGAAGAAGTAAGTCAAAAGAATCTGAAAAATAAAACAATGTGAAACAATAATGAATGTGATAGAACAGGAAAAAAAATAACAAAATTAAAACTTTGTGAAGAGGATTTTTTTACATAAGAATGTCTTTTTCTTAGATACTACCTAATAATTTATGTAAAGAAAGTTATAGTGTAAATGAAACAAGGATTGAGGTTTTTATTTGTACCCTTTGTACTGATACAGATCAATCTATATGCCTGATACAGAACTGATCTGAACTCATTTGCCACTCAGCTCTTCCTTGTCCTGTAAACAAGGAGATCACTGAGTCTGAAAGGTTGGTCTCAATGTGAAGGGATATGTGGTCATTTTCTAGCAGGGAGGACCCAGCAGTGGGATCATTTCCAGTAGGGACGGCCCATCTTTGAGCTCATTTTCCCCTTCAGAAGCTTGCTACACATTTGTTCAAGGCTCTGTAATCTGCTCACAGACTGTCTCCAAACCTGCCATGTTCCTCAGCAGCACCTGGCATTTGCAGATGAAATTGTTCAGTGATGTCCTTGAATGTGTCTCTGATGAACCTCTCAGTTCACTTCGCCTTGACTTCAGGACATGGGTATAAGCTACCTCTTCTGCACATGCAGATGCCATGTATGTGGTACACAGTGTCATAGACAGGGAAAACACCATTTCTTTCCTGGAATTTTACCAGTATTTATTTTGCTTGAAAGGGTGAAAGTTGGATTTGTTTTTGTTTTTATTTAACTGTCAAATGCTCAGCTGCATAAGTTGCATCCTCAATACTATGCACACACCAAAGGATCACAACTAGCCCTTTCCTCATATTGTCCAGCACCTCCTCTGAATTTTTATTTTGATTGCCTGATAAAGTGTCCCATTTGCATTCACCATTCCTTGGTTGCACCTATACTAGTAAATGAAACTATGCTGCTCTTCCTATCCATTTCTGAGCAGCCCTTGTGGGCATCTGCTTTGGCAGGAGATGCATTCTGCTAGCACTAGTAGCCATAGAATTGGCTCCATCATAACATAAGAACACATGTTTTCCTAGTGTCAAGGAAGAAGGGTGAACAGACACTTATCTTCAATATCTGTAACTTAGATACCTAAAATTTCAGGACGGCAACTCTTACTGCATTATTTCACATCTGCAGAAGAAGGACCGATTCATGTTTATTGCCCTCCACTGCATCTGCTATCTATGAAGTTGTCTCAATAAAAAAAAAGTCTCTGTATAACACTGGCACATGCTAACAACCATCATTGGTTCAATCCATTTCACAGCACGAAATGGCTTCGCAGAAGTTCTAGCACAAATATTAGTTCACCTCCAAGAAAATACAACATCCCTATACTCATAAAGAGTTTGTCAGATAAGAAGACTTGATTTCTTAAACATTACTTCTTATTCTTTGACTCCATATGGTTAAGGATAGAGGGAAACAGATTGCATCTCATGACCGTTTAATCCTTAGGAGTCTCAAGGGTGATATTTGGGCTCCGTTACTACTTCAGCATGTATCTATCAGAAATAATTTTAGATTATACAGAATCTCATCATAAAATTGGACTCTTAACCCTGCACCATAGGGAGATCTTGACTGACATGAACCCGCATAAACTGTCATGCCATGCTATACCTGCAAGAAGTGTAGGTCTCTCTGCAGATTGTGACCTACTGAAGCAATCGTCCTTTTAGCTTTTTGTTGACTACTTGAGGTTTCCAAAGTTCCATGTTCTGATGGTAGAACACAAGATGTACAAGGGGACACCACTTTATCCTTCGCTCTGCCCAGACCAGTTGGGATAGACACATTACTTCTGTATGTTTGGCTAGCAAATTCTAACACAGTAGGGCTGCTGGACTTCAAACAAGCAAAAAAAGTCAGCCTTCAGATGATCAGGTTGTCATGCAGCATATTGAGAGCTTTTTTGTCTCAGGCATTCACAGTACCCATAAATTGTCATGGACACAACTTCTGCATACATCCCATTAAACAGAAATTAATTGACTTCAGATTTGCTGTATTGTTATTTCGTAAGCATGTAAATATTGTCATGGAATAGTCTGAGTTACTTTATTGTGTTGGATCATTCATGACAGATCGCATATTCTCAATGTTCTTCAGTTACCTGGGACTGGAAATATTACGAAGAGGACTTTTTTGCCTTCAATACCGTCAGGTACTCACAGATCTTTTGTTTGCCCTCCAGTTCTGTCCTGTTGAGGACAGTGCTCATTCAGTGATCAGAAAGGCTGGCATACATTTACCCTCCCCTGCTAGAAGTTAGGCACACCTTAGTTTACATGACCATGCTTAACTTATTGTAGCTAGGGTATTAGAACTATTTTTCATTTAATCCAAGACTGTCCGTCCCCAAAATGATCTTTAACAGGACGCCCTGTGCCATTTGACAATTGCCTGCAACATTTCATAGCAGGCTTCATGGATGAGATTTGGTCAGTTAGAGCTGGCCCACTTATATGGTACACTTATATACTACGGAGTTGGCCCTCTGACACAGCTTTCTCCACAATTGCAGGAAGGCATATTTACTTAGCAAAATTGAACAGGGCCTCAAACGGCAGTTAGCAAGTTTGTTTCACAGACACACCCTAGGCGTCCATCCCAGACATTTTGGGGTATTTGGTAGAACAAAATGTCTACCCTCTCCTTTAGTTCACCAAAGACTCACACAGCCAACATTTATGCTATGGTACCAGGGAGAGCTTTTCAGTTCAGTTCAGTTCATAGACCACATCAATCCTTCCTGTATCCTGACTTACCTACAAAAGTACCCTGTTTTTTTCCCAGTCATTAACCACCAAGGTATTGTATTGGATGTCTGCAGAGAAGCCACAACCCATAGAAAAGTGTAAATATATATACAGTTTCAGCTGGCATTCCTACCTACCAGGAGACAATGGGAAGAGCTTTCATGTGTTCACAGCTAACTGTCCTTCAATTGCTTAAGGTATTGGGCAAGTGTTTCTCAGTAATGATCTACTCTGTTCCACTACAGGAGTTGAATTTGTTGTTCATGATTTTTTGTAGGACCACAGTTTAAGTCTGTGATGACTTTTTTTCTGCTACACTTACCTTTAACCATGTCTTCCATTCTCCAAGAATATCTGCCAAGGCATCAAAGCTGATTCTTCCTGCAAAATATTCTTGCTAAAAAAATTATGTTTAGAAACCCAAGTTTCCTCCCAAAGTATTTTTTGAGGTTAGTTTAACCCAGAAATTAATTTACCTGTGTCCTTCCCTATATCTCATGTGTTCAGGACCACAGTATCCTTGCTGCCAGCTATCTGCAACACTGGATGTAAGGGAAAATGAAGGAAGAGCTTCTCTGTGTTTCTTCGTTGTCCCAAAATTTTTAAGAAAAATCCAAAATTGTGCTGAAAGTAAAAACTACAAAGGCCTAGCCATACCCGCACAGGGATCACGTTCCTCACTAATTAGTTTAATAAAGATATGTTATGAGAAATGTTCTCCATCATTAGAATACACTTCAGTAGAACTCGCTGCATTCACAGTATTGCCAAGAAATGTCTCCATCCCTGGTGTTTGCTAAGTGAATACCTGGAACTAAATATTTATGGACACACATTATACAACCACAAGGGCCTCCTTCCAGACTGCCATATCTGCCATGGTTTTCTGAAGTCACTGTTTACCAAAAAAACCATATCCAGGTAACTGGCTGGATAGGAAACCTCTGCTTAAAGGAACCTGCAGTGAATATGCATGTATGTAAACACTCCAAAATAGAAAATTTGTTTATCACTACCTGGAGTTTCCCAAAGTGTGTTGGCCTATTACACATTCACTTCCCTTCCTGCTCCACCTCCCTCTCTCACCCCTTCTCCTTCAGTGACCTTCAGGAGTTTGAGTAAACACTGGGACTGCTCCACTATCAAATCATGTCTTGTAGGACTGAAATCCTAAATTCAGGTCATGTATACAATTACAGATGCAGATACTGTCCTACTTGACCCAGCCCTTTAGTTGTTCTGGACACGTGAAGAAGCATAACTCTAGCATTTAGAGAACTTCTGGGAAGGTTCCTCCAAGAATACCTTGTGGTTTATGGGTTTGTTTTTCCTAATTCATAATTCAGACTTGCATCTGATTTCTGCCCAAAACCTTTATTGAGTTTCATTTATCACTCGTTGATCAATGAAGTTGAAATTAGCTCCTGTTCTCAGAGAATATTTAAATACTTACTTCAATATATGCATATGTTTTCTGAGATTGTGATAACTGTGTAACTATGTAGTAAATAAGTTTAACAGAAAACATAAAATGAGTAATAATTTATACAAAAAGAAGAAAGAAAAAAATTGAGAAGGTGGAGATATTAACTAAACTGAAATATGAAATACTGTAATAACATTATTTCCATTGCAGAATGGAAACAGGAGAACCTGAAAAAAACAGGTATAATAAAAAGAGTAGGTGAAACAATTGTGAAAAACAGGCAACAGTGGGAATCTGAAGAATGCAAAATGTAGAAATTCCTGTACATAGCTCTAACAACTGTGCATTTATCAGCATTTGCAGGGCAAGCTTAGTCTAGTTTCAAGTTTCTTTGGGTCTTTGTAAGGTTTATCTCCTGGGAAAATACATAGAGAACCTTTTAAATGTTTCAGCCCTACAGAGAATACAATGTGCTCCTTTAAGTACGTGATAAATTTTCTGATATTTGGCATATTCCAAAAAGAATCTACTCCAGTTCTCCTGTTCAATATCTGTGCTGTATATTTGTAAAATTAGAGTGAGCTATAAAAGTTTTGTGGGCAGTGACATTAAAACTTGCAGTTGGGAAAAGTTTCCAACATACCGTGTTTTGTTATATCTGGGTATACCTCAATTTTAGATAATTTTAATATATTGGTAAGTTTTCTCTGTAAAAAGAACAGGATGACACAAATAGCAGCAAACACATTTAAGGAAACATGAACACATTTACTGCACATGTAAAGACAATAATACCATTTATGTTGTGGTCGACAGTGTCAACTTTGAGATAGTTGTCTCATGAGGGACACACACCAACAGTGATTCAGTTCTTAAATCTCAGCTAACACTTTTAATTAAGTTCAGAGGTTTTCTACTAGTATCCACGCTTCTGAATTTTTCTGGTAATTTTGTGGGCCGAGTGTCCTCATGACAGATATTCTTCTCACTTTTAAGAAAAAAAGAAAGAGACATTTTTGTGTGTTTATAAGTCTCAAGACAAGTTTACTCAGTTATAGTATTCTCTTAATGACGTGGCAAACAACTGGTCACTGATTTATTTAAGTAGTTTCTGAAGAAATGCTAGTTAAACGTGTTTAGGAAGACAACAAAAAACCCAATAAATTATAAAAACATAATTTAGAGAAAAAATTCATTTCTAGGTATAAATAACTGCAGATCAGCAAATTACAGTATTTAAGGATGTTATTAGTTTAGGTTTTGTGATTGAAAGATTTTTACGTGTGAACTATAGTTTTTCCAAATGTCTTCTTTTCTGCCACTAGAGGGTACTCCAAGAACTTACAGTATATTTATAACAAGGATTTATATGGGGTTTTTTGGTCTGTAAACGATCAAGTACTGTTGTCATACTAAACCTTAGGCATTTAACCCCCCAAAATACTGATATTAAACAACAACTTTCAAAACCAGTCTAATATACCTTTTTAGGAAAATAGTGCAGCATACCCCAATTAAAAGGAACATTGACTGACATGTAGTTTAGATTTAGTTAAACTTATCCTACTTATAAATTATCTAAATTACTATCTTTTCTTTATTTCAGACACAATTCTCTGGTTCACATCCTGTTTCTTCATCCAGATTTGGACACGGCATTCCATTATTGGCAGGCTGAAGAAGTACGAAACGAGTTCTGATCTTGGTCCCTGTTTTTCTGCAAGCACCTCTACAAAGACCCCAGGAAGACCACTGTGAAACCTCGCAGTCCAGTGGTGTTTCTGCAATGTACACAACGAAAAGGTAACTTTACATAAATTTGTGCTTAAGGCAAATACATAGTTGGCAAAGCATAAAGGAAAGATGATCAAATAGTGTCCTCTCTTATACAGAAATACATGTGATATTAATGAAATCCATATGTTGTCTCATAAATAAAAAAGTCTGTTTTCAGCTCCTAAGCTCATCAACACTGGTATCATTGTTATTATTATTGCAGTCTAGATACTCTCTCAGGTATTATATCGGTAGTACAGCATACTATCTATTGAATTTAAAATACAGAATTCCTAAAGAGAAAACTATGTGGAAAATAATTGTATTCAAAGGATTGCATTAGAAAAACATATAATGACAATTTTAGAACTCTTTTACCTTTGCATGGCTTACTAAAAACACTGGGTTTAAAGCTTTTCTCTGGTTTATTTAAGTATAGTTATATTTCTTTGAAGATAGATACTGTTCCTATAGTTGTTCATGCAGAACTCCATGTAACTTCTGTTCCAACTTGCTTCAGAGATAAAGACCCTTTTTTCAATTGTTACATCATCTTGCTATTTTTTTGGTGTGTACACTACAGTTCCTTTTGCCATTAAAGATATTCTGTCACTAGAAGCTTTTTAATACTAAAAGGGTTTTCAATATAGTTTTAATTTACTCACAGAAGTTAGAAACTCTAATGTAGTTTTTATAAAGCAGGCTTCCATTGCAAGTATCTCTCTTAATTGGTGACTATTCCTCAGCAGGTTAAATAAAAATACTACTTGTCACAGGAAATTGCATCAAAACTATGTATTGCAGGATTTTTGGGTAAAATATGCAAAAAACAGCTTTAAATGACATAGTAAATGTGCAATCTCTGGTATAAATTTCTGGTAATTACAGTGGAACTCACCACTTCTGTTGTTATCACTCATTCCCAACTTTCTAGAGGGAATGAAGGACACAGTTTGATCTCTGGTACTTCTATCTGTCTTTTAGATTCTGAAATATGTTTTTAAATAGACTGATTTACTGATTAATGTACAATAAAGTGGGGATATATGATTCAAAATGATTTTTGAAACGCTATAATTTAAATGCTTTATTTTAAGTTTGTATCCTAAAGAGGGCCACATGTTCCTTTCGAATATTGTGGGAAAGGCATACAAAAATGAGATATGTAGCACTCACTTTGAATATGGCTTTTTTACTAATAGAAATACATTAAAACACTATAAATTGAGAAAAAATGCATTATGGAAGTATAAATCATGCATTATTGTCTGAGCAGGGAATGAGTGTTATTTTAGTGATTGTGAGGTGACTTCAGCACAGAGTCAGAATCATGCAATCTTCAGACATTGTGAAGAAGCTCTTGGAACGTGGCAGCTCTGCTAGGAATACACTGGGGATTTAGCCTATTGCTGTCTCTCAAATAGTATTTAGGATGAGTCTTATTTTAGGATTAGTATTTATTTTAGGATTAGTATTTAGGATGAGTCTAGTCTTATTCTTAACCCTTCCTCTTACACTTTGTAAAAATCCACTAGAATAGTGTAAAGACAAAATCTCAGTGGACACTGTCCAACTGCTATCTTTCCCTTAGAGCAGTTATTATGTTAATGATGTGTTTGTTAATTTGGAGATTTGTAAATTACCCCTAAGACGGACTTGAGTCAGTAGTTTGCGTGTCTTCCTACCTAAACAAGGTTACCAGCTAATACTTTTAAGAAAAGAAAAATGAGAGAGAACGTTATTTTTGTTGTCAGGATGTATGTTTCTGTCACATATACATCCAAATGAATTGAATTATTTCAACTCTTGTTGCACATAACTATAAAGCCCTCTGACCCAGAAACAGACAATGATAATAGTTCTTTTGCTCCATCAGCAGGTAAAAACTTGAGGATGAATATTTACTTCAAAGTTGCAAAGAATTTGGGAACTCTGATTCTGATCAAGTGTTGTTTATTTCTCATAGAAGTCACTGATCTATACTGATACTAAGGCTTAAGTGACCCTTACTGTGGATATAACTCAAAGCTTTGAACCATATTTCAAATATACAATCATTTCCTTATTCTTTCATGGATTCTCCTTTATGTTATTTGGCTCATTTTACTTCCCATGTGTGAGTCTGGAAAATATTCCTGTGTGGCTAGGAGAATATTCTGCCTAATCACCTATTTCATTCACATCACCTGCCAGATTTCCACATATTTTCTGAGAGAATGGAAATAGCAGAATTCAGCATATCAAAGTACTAATCACTTACCTGAGACAGAGTCTATTATTTCATTGCTTTTAGCTTGGAGATTAAGATAAGGTGCAGGAAGACCCAGCTGGTTTTTCTTTAATTTCACCATTGTTACTTGAGCAATAGGTGGCAAAATTTTGAGCTTTGGATAATAAAACGAGTTTGCTGGGTGACTGGGAGAGGAACAAGTAATCTGTGAAATAAAAGGGGGAACCTTAAAGAAACTATATCATATTTATAAGAAGATCACTGTAAAATCACATTTACACATCGTGCTAATACTTTTGGGGAAGTGAAGTGCATATAACAAGTTTCTGTGAACTTCAGTTCACACAGCTGCTGCTGGTAAGCCTAGAATTTTTATGCATAATGCTATGAGACCGGGTACAATGAATTGTGCCAACCTTTGGATAGACGACTGCGGTGGAAGGTACTGAAAACAGAGTAATGTATGGAACGGTTTAATGGAAAGAAGTGGGTGTTACTACAAGGAAGAATACAAGAGCATTAAATAATAATATTAGGTATGCTATAGCAGCTGTCTTACTGATATAGGAGGCCAAATGTATTGTTTTCCAGCTTCTCTGTTCCTTTTTTCATTAATCATTAGCACAGCATTTGGCTCTAGAAAAACTAATCTTAAACAAAAGGATTAACTGAACGCTTCTAGTATTCAAAACATTTGAATCAAAGTCCTCTGTTCCCCACCACCCTTAAATGACAAAAGCAAAGTATGAGGCATTTAGACTATCGAGTGAGCAAAAGAGACTGAAAGTGGGGCCACCACAGTAGCCATGAAGTTCTCTGCTTTCCCTTACCTCCTTTTTCTCAAATGCAAGTTTCAAGTTTCAGCAATGCTTTTAACTGAAAACACCTCCCCACATCAGTATTTACTGCTAAGGATTTTCCTGTTTAAATACATATTTAGTAATGCCAGGACTTTTGTGAATATTTTTAATGTTCTGGTGTTTTAAGAATCATTTAAAATCAGCTAAAAATAGCTGGCTTTTACAGAAAATGCTTTACATGTAGACCCAACTTTTCATAAACCATCTGCATTTACCTAATAAATTTGAAAGATACAGAAAATAAACAAAAGCAGTATGGTTATCAGCTATGTAGAAATCCATACATAGGGAGCATCAGCATTCTCAAATACTGAAATCAGTTCCACAGGAGTCTATTGTGCAGTCATAGTATCTTCATCTTTTAAAGGGAGGACTCAGAGCAAATAGTTCTGAAGTGCTAAACTATGTATATACACCTACCTCTGTAACTGTGTCCTGTGGAATAGTGGCAAAGTTTGGGGAGGAAAATGTGAAACCACTATCAGTTCCAGCATCATATGGAAATAGATCTACTGATACTTCTTCCATCCAGTGGTCTCCTTCACAGAGATTTAGGCTGTCAATACCCACAAACCAGTCAGGGCTTGGAACAATTCGTACAACAAATGAAACCTAATGAAACAAAATGATCCATCAGGATTGCATCACTTGCTTTGAAATGCTCCAGTCTTGCTTATAGTAATTTTAACTTAAAACTTTTGAAAGAAATGTCATTACGCTCATCTACTTTATAGATCCTGTACAGTGCTCCCTGCAGTGTGACATACTTTTTAGTAACACTTTGCATTATATTGTTCCTACAAGTGAGAACTCTAGAATTTAATTTTGTGTGTTAGTGACATAACACAAACTTTAAAAATTAATATGTACATTTACTTACTAAGGGATGTCTTGAATGCACTTCTAATTCAGTGGAAGTTTGTCCTGTACCACTGGAAATGGCAGGAGCAGAGAAGATTCCATGTACACTCTGAATTTTCTCTCCAGCTTCTTCTATTTCTTTCATTAATACCCATGCTTCACCCTTTTCAGCAAAATCACGTACACCATTGCTGGCATATTCATTTTTTTTCCACATGTTGTAGTCAGAACTATGAGTAACACCTATTTGAGTGAATACATGGCATGACATAAAAGTCTGGTTTAGATTGTCCCTATTTCTTCAGTTTCTCTGTATTATTTCTGAGGTTAAAAAAGTTGTGTATAAAAATGAGTGAACACTAAAACATTTGGCTTATCACTGTTTATTTCAGCTGCAGCCAATTGAAAACAGAAGTCAATTGAAAACAGTTGTAGATTTTTGAAAGCATTGTGAATACTTCAGTTTCTGCATCTCATTCTTCATAACTTTGGTTATTTTTTCCCTTTTTCATTAGTTATCTTAAAATTGACTATTAAGAAGAAAAAAGAGTGCAGCGGTCAAGAGATTTATCTGTTCTTAGAAATGTACATGCTTCACTTACCTAGCATTGATGACCACTGTGCTGGGGGCCTGTAAAGAGGATACTGCTTAGGGAAAGCAGTCTGACTCCATTTCCCTGTGAAGATTATGCTGTACTTTGCAAGTTCCTCTGCTGTGCAAATAGAATCATCACCCACAGGCAAGCTGCTGGCATAACCTAGTATTGTTATGAGTAACGTCCAGATAACTTTACAGGAGCGGTAGACAAACATCAGGTTTTCCATACCCTTCCACACAAAAAGAAAAAAATATGTTAGCCGTATTAGTCACTCTAAACTCAAATTTGAGTAACAGTTATCTAATGAAATGTAACGTACCTGATATTATAACTAGAAAGAAAGCATATATCTGAAACACTAAAAATAGTTATGCTTCTAAAAACGTTATTATAATGTTGTCAGATTTGATATTTCCACGCTATATACTACAAGTCTGTAATTCTACCTGGGTCAAGTGTTTCTAATGAAAATAAAAACATCTCAACCTTGTCCATAGTACTACCTCTGAGAAAAATCTGTTTCTGATTTTCTTTTGAAATCTTACTAAAGTCACATCTTGAATTAATTAGAGTAGCAACTGTTTCTGTGGAAAACATTAGTGGTACATTTATTCTCCTAAAGATTAAATTGCAGGTTACTTTGCCAAAAGAAATGATTTATTCTAAATTTGTGTTCTACAAAGGCTGTTTTATGGCATAACATTTAAAGTCAAATACATTTCATATTTGTATAAATTACTTTGCTGTCATAACTTGTGCATTAAAAAATACATTGTAATTGCTTCAGATTGTTTAAGCTATACAATTTGTAAAAACCAGTATTTTTAAAAAGTTGCTGTCACAGGTTATGCAAGTTTTGTTTTTAAATTAATATGGAAATTGCATCATACTGTTGAACTGCAAGAATTCTTTAAAATAAAAGTCTTAAAAAATTATTTTTAAATGCTTTTGTCCTTTGAGAAAACTGCACAAATAGAACTAAAAGGCTGATAATATATTAATTTGTAAAAAGAGCTGTGAATACTCACTAAGTATTTCTTCTGGAGCACTGGTAGGGGGAGAGCACCTGCTTTTGCTGGCAGCTGAGTTGGTCTGCAAGAAAGACAGTAGGAGTCTTGCTATTTATGCCTGAAGAGGGTCCCTTTGGTCCAACAATCATTGTAATCTTTCGACTTTCCAGGTTTGCAAAAAGCATGCCATCTTCTTGTTTGCAGTCTTTTTGGATAGACTGTCAGAGGTTTCCTGTCCGTCAACCGTTTCAGGTTCCTATCAGAAGACTGTGATGCCGAATAGATGAAATGCTTTAAAAAATACCTTGGATTCTTAGTAACAGCTCGAGTTTTCTGGTGCGTTTACAGTTCTCTGCTCTTATTAATGCCTCCAAGCTATACAAATGAACCGATTCCAGCACTGAAACAGTTCTACTGAGTACACTTTAAATGAGAAGCATGTTTTCTTCTAAGTTTTATTGTCTGACAGATGCTCCTTCCAAACATTTACAAAGAGCTTGCTGACTCTCACACACCATATGTATGTGTTCAAATAAAAGGGGTGAGGCAGTTAAAAAAGTCAAGAGGAAAAAAAGTTACATTTTATAATTGCGCATACTCACACAGACTGTGTCTCCTGCAAATATGAATTAATTTAAAGTAGTACAGTGTATATTTTTGTGTTCTGCAGTACCAAAAAGTTTTGGGAAGCTCTGAGATTTTTCTTAGCAGTCTTCAGAGTAAAAACCCCAAATAAAAATTTTATTATTACAGTTAAATCACACATCTTCTGTACATAGTACATACACTGACATAGCTAAAATTATTCACATTGTCTAGGAAAAATTATGCATAATACAGTAACCTAATTAAGAGATAACCTTTAATACTTATTTTAAATTGTTTTCCCCACTACCTTTCAAATAAGGGAAAACAAGGGCTTTGTGCCATGCCTATAAGGTTTAACAAATGCTACTGTGGCTGATCAGCAAAGGCAGTTAAGTTCAAAAGTTTATAGTGAACCATGAAGAAAGTTTTTAACAGACTGTCTTTTGAAATTGTGAGGAATGTCACTAAAGTACTTCCACAGATCTCTGATATGATGGTACAGCACATGGAAAAACAAGGCAATTATTTTTCAAATGAAACTCCCAGGCCATCATAAGTATATAGCTTAAGTGACACATTATAGTGCACTGGGGGGGGTTACCAACAACCAGTTTGAGCTTTGTGGCTCTTTAACTGGAAACTTGTCCTTCCTTTCCACCCCCCACCCCGTGGGAAATCAACAAGAAAAGACAAGAGATGAATAAACGGGGATGTCTGAATGGAATTTCCATTGATTATTCTCCTGGCAAAATGGAATCTACTGCAAGTTTCAACATAGATGGATTCAGCACCCATAACCATGATTCCTGTATATCTGAATAGATAATGGGAATCCTGTAGCAGGTTAAGCCATCTAGACATGGACATGCCCTTTATTTCCAAGGCCCCTTCCTCCATCCTATGTTAATGCAACATTTTCCATAATTTATTTGTGTTCCAGGAGCCAGACTCCACTAAGAAAAAGAGCAAAGAAGCTTCATGGATACTTTTATAACAGTTCTGTGAGTATTTGTTGAAGGATGATATCTGAATTACATCCAGCTCACTCCCTCCTATGCACAGAATGTCTTAGAGATATGCGTTTACTTACATTAGAAGTGGGTGATCTTTACAGCCCATGCAGCCCTCTGGAAGAACCATACAAAGTTCCCACACGTTTTAAAGCACAGTTAAAACTGCTTAAAGCTTTCTTATTTATTACTAACTAGCTTTTAACTTTAGTAGGCTTGGTTGTTTATCATCACAGTGATTGAACCAGCTAAATTCATATACTGAAACATACTCTGACACTTCCGGGACGATACTTAAAATGAGAACAAAGCAAATAGCTCTGGATCCAACACAGAATTATTTACTCTATCAGACTAGCCTTTTCCTTTTGAAGAAAAATTACTGCCAAAATGCAGATCACCAGACTAGATCGTTCTTGTTCCATGACTACATGTTATGAATGTATCCAGGAATGGGACAATACATGCAGGCTGCATAATTTGGCACAGCTATTATAAGAAAAACATACTAAATGAGAAAAGAAACCAAATTGTTGGAAGTCATTAACTTGGGAATTCATTTGAGGTTTCTAAGTACAGAGCAGACAAACAAATATCAAAAATCACAAATGTTATAGTTGATTCTCCCTTGGAATAGGAGTGCATGATGCTTTGTACTGAGCATCCAAGAGGCGTTCCAGTTGTATAATTCTGTATAATCACAGAATCATAGAATGGTTTGGGTCGGAAAAGACCTTAAAGTAGTCATTTTATCCTTCTTCCAGGGCGCCATTACTCCATTTTCTTGAAGTTATCATACTCTTCAACATCCGATATCAAAGAAACACAGAATCACAGAATCACAGAATCACAGAATCACAGAATGGTTGGAAGGGACCTCTGTGGGTCATCTAGTCCTACCCCCCTTTCTGTGCTTCAGTTTGTGCCTGTTGCCCTTTGTCCTGTCGCTGGACACCACTGAAAAGAGTCTGGCCCCATCCTCCTGACACTCACCCTTAAGATATTTATAACCATTAATAAGGTCCCCTCGCAGCCTTCTCTTCTTCAGGCTAAACGATCCCAGCTCCCTCAGCCTTTCCTCCTAGGAGAGATGCTCCAGTCCCCTCATCATCCTTGTAGCGCTCCGCTAGACTCTCTCCAGTAGCTTCTCATCTTCCTTGAACTGGGGAGCCCAGCACTGGACGCAGGACTCCAGATGGGGCCTCACTAGGGCAGAGTAGAAGGGGAGGAGAACTTCCCTCGACCTGCTGGCCACACTCTTCTTAGTGCACCCCAGGATGCCATTGGCCTTCTTGGCAGCCAGGGCACACTGCTGGCTCATGGTCCTCCCAGTTTTGTATCATCAGCAAACTTGCTGAGGGTACACTCTAACTCTTCATCCAGGTCATTGATAAAGAACTTGAACAAGATTGGGCCAAATACTGACCCCTGGGGGACACCACTAGTTACCGGCCCCCAGCTAGACTCAGTGCCGCTGATGATAACCCTCTGAGCTCTGCCATTCAGCCAGTTCTCAATCCACCTCACTGTCCACTCACCCAGCCCACACTTCCTGAGCTTCCCTAGGAGGATGTTGTGGGAGACCGTGTTGATCGAGGTAGACAACATTCACTGCTCTCCCCTTGTCTACCGAGCCAGTCATGCCATCGTAGAAAGCTATCAGATTCGTCAAGCATGATTTCCCCTTGGTGAATCCATGTTGACTACTCCTGATAACCTTCTTTTCCTCCACTTGCTTGATGATGACCTCTAGAATGAGCTGCTCAAATGTCAGTTAATGGAATACAACTGAGTCTAGACCTTTTACTTATCTAACTTACCAGTGTGAGAATGAGAGACTTTGATACATGTTACTTTGAAAAAACAGAGGGATTCTTTGCTCAAAAGCTTCAGATACTTACAGGGGATCTGGATTATAGTCCTTATTCTTGTTGTCTAATCCTGGTCCACAATGGAGGTTTTGTTCCTTCTGATTCCTATGCTGGACCTTTCCCTGTTTACAATGAGGGCTCTACCATGACAGATTCCTCAGGAAAGATTAAAATCTTCAGGACCTACAACATCATTCTTATCTTTGTTGGATTCATAATTAAATTTTGGCAAAATACAGTGACAGTAAATTTTTTTTCATTATCTTCTCTCCTCTCTCCACCCCTCCCCACCTTCCATAAATGAAGAAGGGTGAAAACAGAGAAAAACATACCTCGCAGTGTTGTCAGAAAATACGAACTTGAGGACTCCCAGTCTTCTTTCTTTAAATAGAAACTGTGCTAAACATAATCAGTGTCTGACATTGTGAAGGACATCAAAACACCAAATTTAGTATCTCATAGATGCAAAGAAAAAAAAAAGGGAAAAAAAACCAGATTTACACTCAATGGACTACTTTCATGGCTGGGAAGACACACATGCCAAATTTCTGTGGGCCAGCAGTTGGAGAAAAAATTGCTGTGGGATCAGAACCTACGCTTGCATTCCTTCTTCAGTTTGTATGTCCCATTAGAAAGCAGCGGCAAACTCATGGAAAACTGGAAAAAAACTCTGCCATTTAGAAATCATTTTACCTGTATAAAAAATTGGACTTTTTTCTTTTTCTTTTACAGCAAAATAGCTTTTGCTTTTCAAATTTGTATCTCTTCAGGTATGCCTCTTTTCCGTCCATATGCATACCTCTATAGACCCTAATACTTCAAGGAGTAGGCATACTTAAGTATCAGGGCCAAAGTGTGCCTTGTGTTTCATTATACTTGAAGAAGCATGCAACTTCTGCTGTTTTGTGTCACTAAGGCAACAGTCTTACAGTTTCCGCAGACTTCACAAAGACTCACAGGATCAAAGCTGGTAAGTATAAAACAAATGGGGTGCAGATATTTTGGGTTTTTAAATAACAGTCTTAACTGTGTCTAAAATATTCTGTATTCTTGCTAACCAAAAATAATTAAGAAAGCAAGAAAACAAGGAAAAAGTCCTACTTAAAAATATAGCACTACAGTCAATATCATGTTGATTCTTGAAATAATTACACCATACAAAAATTGTTATATGAACATGTTTAGGCTATCACACAGCAATACAGCACATTAAAAGGGTGTAAATTCCATTTTGATTAGTCAGAGAATAATTTAGCCCTTTCTCTGGTAAGCAACAAGATTGGCATGATTAGTTATGGCATTTCTATTAAACCATAAGATTAAGAGAAAGGAGATTTCACTCACATGATTGATCTGAAGTTAGTTTGCCCACCTTTATTCAAAACAGAAGCTCCAGAATTTTTGTATCTATATTCCTGTGTTATTACCACACATTAAATTTTTTCCAAACCATTTTATTTTGCTGGTAAGAATATATGTGCAACTTTGATATTGACAGGCTGTTTAATATGCTTATGACTAGCTAGCATCTCTTTGTCTACCAAGAAAAACAGAACATTGTATTACTTAAGAAGGATTATACACCCATACTTTCCGTTCTGTAGTTACCATGGATACACATACGATTATGGACACTCAGCAATGCCAAAAGGTTT